GGTAGAGTGCTAGCCTTGAGCTGAAGAGCTGAGGGACAGCGCCCAGGCCCAGAGTTCAGGCCCCACGACCGGACCCCAAAAAAAAAAAAAAAGGATATTTCACCTAAATTCCCTTTAAAAGAAATAATTCCCATAAACATAGAGCTTCCTTTTTTTTATCCTGCATTTAAAACAACTCAACTGATTCTTTTCTCTTTGTAATACCATCAGTTCAATCATATGATAATAAATATTTTCTCCAAAGTTCAAAGCACCTTACACCTGGCTTAAAATGAGTATGAGAAAACAAAATCTGAAATACTGACTCATTACATTAATATATATATACTTTCAGAATATGATTTGGTATACTGAAAAAACAAATGTTTGAGAAAAATACTGTGGTCAGAATACACGTTTCTTTCTTCCCCAGTTCCAACAAAATGACAGGAGTGGAATAAAATAGCTGTAAACTTGGAAATGTGATCAGAAAGAAGATGACAGCAGATGTGAGGGGTGGGAAGATCTTAAGATGCAGAAAGGGAGTGGTCCATTCACCTCCGGGGAGGTGAATGTAACTAAGGGGATGGCAGGGCAATAGTACTGAGAACAGGGTTGATCCACCATGAAGAACTGTGCCTTTACACGTATACTGTCAACAGGAGCCTGAAAGACTTCTTCATAAACAAACATCTCCTATCTCTAGGTTCCCAAACGTCTCTTCTTTTTCAAGATCTAAGTTAAATTTCTTCATTGCTTTCTTTATCTAACTCTAGCAATTTGCTACCATGACTTTTCTTATACATTGGTTTCTATCATATCTGCAAGAGATACTCTTAACCTGTATAACTTTTACAAAAAGTTCCCATGTTTTAGAAAAATCACTTTCTTTCTTCTTAGTCTTGCAACTCATTTTTCTTTCAGATTTCCAGTATTTTGGCTTGTTTCATTTTCAACTCTAAAATGCATTTAACAGAGAGGCTGTTTTTCTGGCTATTATTATTTCTTCTCTGTCTGCTACATGCTGAATTACTGTTCCTATATCATCTTTCATATAAGGGCTTTAATTTCCAAAGACTACTTTTTGTTCTTATTTACATAGAATTTTCTATGCTAGGCAGGCACTCTGACATTTGAGCTATACCTCCAGCCCCAAATCCTGTTATTTCTTCATACTTTCAAGAGTTTTTTAGATTTGGGTTCTTTTGCATTAAATCTGCAAAGTCAACAAGAATGGTACTTTTATAATATTTATTGTTTTCCTAAGGATTTACATATTATCTTAATTATCCAAAACTTTTATGTATTTTAATATGGTAGTCATAGATATCACTGATATGATTCCTATGTAGGTAGTATTTCTTGTTACAAAGTGAACAGAATCTTACCATTATAGACTCTAGTGGTTATTCTAATGAATTCTTCCCAGCATTCTAATAAGCTGATGAAAATTATTCTAACTCCTGTGTCCCAACACCTTGTATTGTTTTAACTTCTCGAGTATTAAACATAGTGTGTGAAACATTTTGTTTTATGCCTGCTTTATTATTTCCAGTGAGGGGACTTGAACTCGGGGCCTGGCCACTGTCCCTGAGTTCCTTTTGCTCATGGTTAGTACTCTACCACTTTATGTCACAGCTCCACTTTCAGTTTTCTGGTGGTTAATTGAAGGTAAAAGTCTCATGCACTTTCCTGTCCTGGCTGGGTTTGATCTGGGATCCTCAGAGCTCAGCTTCCAGAGTAGTTAAGATTACAGGTGTGAGCCACCAGCACCCAGCTTATGCTGGGTATTTCTGTCAGCTTTCTTTCAGGGACTGGAGTAGGGTAAGGTTTTCATGACTCTTGCAATTTCTTATTCATGCAATGAGGCGTTCACATTTCCTGTTTGTAAACTTTTATCATTTGCTGCTCCAAATATGGTGTGAGCCAGAAAGGTGAGATCTGAAAGAAAAGTAAATGGGCTGTGACTGAGTGCTTGTGGAGGAGCTACAAGAGTTCCATCAGGTGAATTCTGCAGTCTCTCTCTTCTGACTACTCAGAGGACATTTCTGCTTACCTTTAAGCTCTTGGCCATATTCTAACTAGGTTAAGTTTGCTATAAAAACAACTTCATGTGTGATTCTATAATTTAAATTAGATTTCTGAGATACATTTGAGTCCATATCAATTATCATCAAGAATAATAAACAGACTAAACAGAAAACTCACTTTATTTACTTCAGCAATTTCTCGTCTCTCTTCACTAGCAAAACGGGGTGGGCCTGCCCGATCGTCATTCTTTGAGCCATCTTCTTCTACATACGGAATAAGTTGCTGGGAGTGAAGTAAAACATATGCTCTAAATAGTCCAATTAGACTGGTACAGACAAGACATCAGACTAGGATCACTTTTTATACTTTTGTTTAAAAGTAAATTTGAACTCAGGTGATAGCGGAAATAATAGCTGTAGAAGTTCATCATTTCAATGCATTCTAGATATTACTCTTCAGGTTTCTTCTGTAAAATAGTACTTATACACTAGTTGTCAAATATTAAATAATGCTTTAATTAATCATTTAATCAGTAAGTTTTGAATTTCTAGACATAAAGGATGAGATACTAAAAATACAATATCAAAAAGAAGATTACTGCCCCAATGAACGATAGTCTGTCGGTAAGTGTTTTCATCCCTCCTTTTCCTTGACTTGTCCCCAGCCCCAGACAAAGTCAGTCCCAGTTCTGATCTCACAGCTTTGACCATTTCTTTCCAGGATGTGTAGGAGCTTATTCTTCCCCATGTCACTTCTCACATGTTGACTACTCAAAAAGTAGTACTGATCACATAAAATTACTGTTTGTAGTAGGTAAGAGGGCATCTCAGTTTCTCAACTATCTTTGGTGGTGGAACGATACAGTTTGTTAATAGGAAAAGGTCATTTACAGAAACATCTTATATACGAGGCTAATCTAACCAGACCTGAGAGAATGCATTTTTGAAATACAGTGATTCCCACTATTTACTTTAAAAAAATCTACTGAAATATTGATGAAAAATAATATTATCTATAAAACACTTTCATAAAACCCATTTTAACATTATTTTATGATACTATT